TGTGTGTGTGTGTGTGTGTGTGTGTGTGTGTGTGTGTGTGTGTTCCTTGGTAACAGCCTCTCTTTTTGTTGACGTAATGGTTATCTTTTTCTGTGTGGCTCGTTTTTGCAGGAAAGCTTGAAGTATAAGTTGTGTGTGTGTGTGTGTGTGTGTGTGTGTGTGTGTGTGTGTGTGTGTGTGTGTGTGCGTTCCTTGGTAATAGCGTCTATTTTTGTTGATGGGATGGTTATCTTTTTCTGTGTGGTTCTTTTTTGCAGGAAAGCTTGAAGTATAAGTTGCATGGATCTCTGGATGACATTGGGTCGTGGGGGCATGAATATGTTAGGTAATTCCTCAGCTTCTGACCTGTTCTTGGCACTGTTTCTTCCTCTGTTTTTTTCCCCATTTTGCTACTGTTGCTTCTTGCTTGCCAATTGACTTTCCTGTGCGGCTCCCTGTAAAGTAGAGGTACCTGTAGTGTGGAGAGAGAGTAGAGGACCAATGCGCTCCGATTCACAGTGTGACAATATATGGCAGGTGTGTTTGCATGGTCTGTGTTTTGGTGCGGGTGGGTGTGTGTGCTCACATTGGGTTACGAAGTTGTGGCCTTCCTTGGGTGTGTGTGGGTGTGTGGGTGCACGTGCGCGCCTGAACGTGCGTAATGGGCATGTACTGTTGATACACGGTGTAGAGCAGGGCTGTCACACGGTGATGCCATGAGGCGGTAGTGATTGACTGAAGCTGATCCTTCTTACGAGACACTGAATGGAGTGTAGAGCANTGAATGGAGTGTAGAGCAGGGCTGTCACACGGTGATGCCATGAGGCGGTAGTGATTGACTGAAGCTGATCCTTCTTACGAGACACTGAATGGAGTTTAGTGCACTGCTTTGTGATGCAGAAACTTGGCTGGGGAGATTGGACAAGAGCACCAGAAGCGCGTGGTACGTCGCTGGGCTGAGAACATGGTGTCTCATCTCGTATTCTCTGTTGCATTGTGGTGATCCTGAGAAAAAAGCCCCTGTATGCAGGGACTGGCTTTATCTGGGTTTGATCCCCTGCTGTTTCCAGGAATATCCTATCGTGTCCTCTCTGTGCACTCTCTATGTAGGGACCTGGGTTTGCTGGGCTTGATCCCTCCTGTTTCTGGCAAATCTGTTTGTCTGTCTCTCTGTCCTGTTTCTGGTAAATCAGTCTCTCTCTCTCTCTCTCTCTCTCTCTCTCTCTCTCTCTCTCTGTGTGTGGACACCCCCCCTCCTGTTTCTCTTTCCCCTTTGACGTATCTAGTACTTGAACCTGTCCGCCCCTTAAATCTCTAATACATGGCCCCAGCCAAGTTGAGAATCAGGACTGAGCCTCTCCAAAACAACCGGAGGCTGGGCGCAACCGGACCAAAATGGCTGGTGGCATCAGCCAGAATTAAAACAAAAATGCCGCGCTGACAATTCGACAAAGCTTGGTGCGCAATGGGAATCTGCCTCTTACAAAAGAGGCTTGGATGTACTGGTGGTTTAAATCTTCTTATTTTTTCCCTCTCTGTGTGTTCTGATACAGCTGAGCTTTGTCTTTCCCAGTGAAGGCAGGGTATTTAGTTTTTGTCTTGACGTTGTGAGAGTTCAATTTTGAAAATGCTGGCATGCTTACCCGATTGATAGAATAGAGTTGTGTTCCCTCCAAATGGGGGAAAGCAAAGGGGTGTTGTGACTCGAGATAGTCTATCAGTAAGACTACTGACTGCAGGACAATTCCATCCTCGGGGACCCAATCGGAATACGTGAGTCGCCATGTAAACCACGATTCCAATCTCTTAGATTGGGAGCTATGGAGGTATCAGAATTTAGACTCTGTGCTGGAGGGTGTTTCGAAGTACTCAACAAGTATGCTATTGAATCTTGAGACGTTTCTTCTACACTTTCTTAAACCACCAGTACATGCCCCCTGCCAAGTTGAGAATCCGATTGAGCCTCTCCTAAAATTTCGGAGGCTTGCGTGCCGCTGATCAAATACATCTTCGGCTGGCCGGCGGCCCACGGCCGATGGATGACGTGTACTGGTCCTTCAAGACATTGCACGGGGTCTTCTCTCCCTTCCAATTCTTCCAAGCCCATGCCCTTGGCTGTGGTTTTGCAGGATGGTAGAGAGGGGCAGTGAAAATGGCGAACCTGGCTATATGGAATATACGTATATGACACAGGTACGCAGAGATTTCGGAGGGTGGACGGCTGTCGGGTATGTAGACGGGCAAAGGTTCAAATGCTTTGATACCATTTGCCGTTGCGGACATCGAATTACTGCCATGTCACGCTGCTGCCGGTGGATGAGTTGGTCAGACCGTGCGAACCAACCCAACCCCCGCACAAAACCGAGAATTATTCGAATAGAATTCCCAGACTCCAATGGTAGTGGAATGTAGTGTTGAGGCAACAGAGACAGGTACAATAGACGTGCAACACCCTCTGCTGTGTCCGTTTCTAGACTCTTAGCACTACTGTCTTCACCTAGATAGGACGTATGGTCATTATTTTGTATCCAGACTGAAAGTTGGACCAAATTCTGTACATTCTATTTGGGGTAAGACGAAAGTTGGAAGATAGAGACCATCATTCAGTCCAAATTCTGGGGTGAGATGAGAGTTGGCCAAAATTCTGTTACCGTATGCTCGAATGGGAGTGGAATGTAGTGTGGAGAAGTATTGTGGCAAAAATTGAATCGACAGTGACCGAGAATAGATATGCAACACCCTCAGCTCTTTCAGCAAATGTCTAAGGGCGAAGCGGGATATATGCTGGGAGCTCCGAGTATTGGACCAATTGGAAAATGTGTCGGTGCGGACAATCGGCAGGGAAGGAAGTCATACATGTGTTGATACATGCGCTGCGCCCCTCAACGACTACATGCAAGACATTCCTGCTTGGGGTGATGATATCCTAGACCCCAAAAACTAAGTACGAAGATCAAGACCAACATTCATACCTGCCAGACATTCCTGCTTGGGGTGATGATATCCTAGACCAAAAAAACTAACATTCCTGCTTGGGGTGATGATATCCTAGACCCCAAAAACTAAGTACGAAGATCAAGACCAACATTCAGACCTGGATGGGGGGAAAGATAGATCGACTATTACCTTAAGCGGATTAGATCATCTATTACCTTAAGCGGATTCCCAAAACGACGAATACGAGTGGTGTGATAGATAACCTACAACCAGTCCAGATTCAAGGTGGATGGGTGTGATTGATGGTAGTAGAGATGGGGCAGAGGAATCCTGTACTAGGTCTCTAACGGTGGATGTGATGCAGCCTTGTGACCATGGAATCGTTTGAAGAACTTCCCAAATATCACTACCTTCTTACCTCGAAAAAGACGTACATACGTTGTGTATGAATACAACGTATGGGGTACGTTGTATTCGAATACAACGTACGCACGTTGTGCAACAAATTTTGAGCTACGACTCTCCCAGGGCGGCCCTTTACAGAGTATGGTGTATTTTAATGCAACGTACATATGTTGTATTTGAATTTTGGGTTATGAGAGGTGGCCCTGGAATGTATGAGAGGACCCTGGCCTCATCTCGTTGAGTAGAAATGCATGCAGTGATTTCGGTGAAAAAAACAAAACAAAAAAACAAAGACCCGAACATTCTACTTCGTTTTTCCCCCCACCTCAAATTTGGTAGCAAATTTCCACAATACTCTCAGGCAAAAGATGTTTGTATTGCATTGTTCTTCGACATATATATTTTTGGATTTTTTTGAACGTTTTATAAAATAGTGAAAATGTCTCTGCCACAGACTTCGAATACAACGTACGTACGTTGTGTTTGACCGTACGCTCTATTCGGAAAGAAAAGAGCAATTTCTAAAAGGCCGATTTTCGAAGGTAATTCAAATATAGAACGTACGTACATTTTTTGGGGGGGTAAGAAGGTAGCCGTGGTGCGAGCTTTTGAACTCTTGAGACAGCCTTGCAACCACGACCTCATCTGAATAACTTCCCAAATATCACTACCTTCTTCCCCCGAACATAACGCATATGCGTTGTTTTCAAGTTTTTGAAAGAAAAACGCTTTTTAAAAAGAAGTTGGTACCTTTTTTTCAAATAGAAGGGCACTTCGAATACAACGCATATGCATTTTTATTCGGATAAAATGCACATGCGTTCTATTCGAATTTCAAAAATATTTGAATAAAATCCCTGTTTTTGCCCCCTTCCTTTTTAAGGTCAGCGCATATGCATTCTCTCTCTCTCTCTCTGTGCGTGACCTAGGACCCCACTCCACTACTCTCGACATGTGCAAATCGAGAGTGACTCTTTTGCTAGAACATGGAAAGATACACCGCCATGATTGTTGCTTTTTGTGCATGTCGAGAGTAGTGGAGTGAGGCCCCTGCGCTCTTCTTGGTTGTCTCCCGCTGTCTGGCAAATGGCGGTCAAGAAAGTGGCAGCGGGGGCAGCGGGAAGCCATGAGGGATGCGCCCGACTATGCCAGGGCGTTCTCATTTTGCACATTGGTGAGGAGTGGAGGGAGGCCTCAAATGGCAGAAGGGGGATGAATCTTCGGCCAGAACATGGAAAGATACAACACCACATTTTTTGTCTGTGTAATGCCCTTCGCCACGGACCAGAACTGAGCCTACTCAGTCTGGACCGGCCCCCCTGCTGTCCAAAACTTTGCTGCACTGCCCTCGAATACAACGCATATGCGGATTAAACGAATGAAACACAACGTATGCATTGTATTCGTTTACAACACATATGCGTTATGTTCGGGGGAAGAAGGTAGCCGTGACAATAGTTTTTGATATCCCTCACCTCAACGGCTATGACTGCCAACTATTGAGGACCATCGCAATCTTGTTGCGGGGCTCTGGAATCAGTGTTTGGCCCACTCTCTCTCGGTAGAAGTAAAAGCGGAACCAGGCCGACAGAAAATGAATAGGAGACCAATCGGTTTGCTTTCTTCTCTCAACATGACGTGTGTTGTGCTGACCACCATGTAGGACCCCATGCCCACTGAAAGAGTGCCTGGTTGACCCTAGAGTGGATGGTGTTCTTTGGGAGGCTCCTGAGACATGGTGTTCTCAACCCATTCTTCGTTATAGTACGTCTTCATCCCTGGGTTCTGGTCTTAATTTTATCCTAGTCCTACTGGGGTGGTGGGAAAAATTGAGATGGTGTCGTGATCCATGTTGAGCTAATCGGCCAAGGTTCTGGTCTTAATTTTATCGTAGTTCTCCTACTACTGGGCGTGGTGCGAAAAATTGAGATGGTGTCCTGATGTATGTTGAGCTGATCGGCCATGGTTCAGTCTGAAATGGGAAATGTCCTGATCTGATCGCCGACTGCAGCGTTGTTGCGCACCCTCCTTTTTTTAATGCATGGAATCTTTTGTGTGGCAATTATGCCCCAAAGGGAGCTCAACTGTGCACCCTTCTCTGCAGAGTACTGTGTGGATGAGTGCAAAGGTGGCATGTAGGAATGCCCAGTGTGGACAAATTAAGGCTAGTTGTTTGTGCTGGTTGGGGTGGAAGCTGCAATTTTGGTTTCTACATTCTATTTTTCTACCTTTTTTCCTTTGTGTTTGAAGGTGGAATCTATAGGGCCAAAAGGTTTTGAAAAGGCGATTCCGAGGGAAGTGATTCTGTATAAACTAATGCTATAAAACATCTCCCTTCTGCAGCTACGAAAGGACCATCTCCCTTTTGCGGTGAACATTTTTTCATCACATGCAGTCCTTAAAAATACCTTCCTTTTCCTCTTTGTTGTTGCGCGGCGGGTTTTCTCTGCGTTCTACGTCTGCTGTTCTGCTTTGGCGCTTGGTTGTTGAAGCTGGTACAGACAGGAGTAAATGTTTTTGGTCGTTTATCTGTGCTTGGGTCATAAACAGGATGAAGAAAAGACGGTAGATGATCTCATGCAACTTGTATGGCAGATTGTGCCATTCCATGTCAAGGTATTTCCATCTGCTCATCCTATTCTTTCTGGTAATTTCTGGCTTGCTAATGATGCGGCATTGTTTTGCTAAGTTGCTGCGTTCGTTTTGTTAATCTTGCTGCATTGCTGGTTCATGAGAAAGATTCACTGCCAACTAGCATGAATATGAGTTGCTGCCAAGGAGGACAGTGAATTTCCCTCTTGTTGCCTTTTCCATTTTTGCATGCGGGATGGGTTGTTGTTCAGATTTATAAGTTAGTTCCCGGTTCGAGGATGATGGCATTTCAAGTGGAGGAGCTGTTTGGTGCATGGAATAAAAGACGTTGCAGCTCTGGCACAATTAGGACTTCTCAATGGTAACACATTTTGATCGGGTCTAATCCTGTGTGAAAGCTGTGGACGTTGGTTATGTGCATGAATGGGCTGCATTATCACATTGGGCCTATATACACCCTCGTAAGTTGGAGTGGGCAACACTGGATTTTGGTATGTTCTACGTACTAGTTATGTGCTATGCATATTACTGTGTACTATTTGCTATGCATACTACTGTGTACTATGTACTATTGTGTTTGTGTTCTATATTATAGGTACTAGTTATGTGCTACACACTACAGTGTGCTGTGCATACTCCTGTGTACTATATACTATTGTGTACTACTACAGTGTGCTATGCATACGACTGTGGACTAAATACTATTGTGTACTACTACAGTGTGCTATGCATACTACTGTGTATTATATACGATTGCATACTACTACAGTGTGCTATGCATACTACTGTGTACTATATACTATTGTGTAATATGTTCGAGGTACTAGACTACTTGTTATTCTCCACCTATCTGCTAAATATGCATACTATTGTGTACTCTGTACTACTGTGTTCTATATTCTAGGTTCTAGTTATGTGCTATGCACTACAGTGTGCTGTGCATACCCCTGTGTACTATATATTATTAAATCCCACTGAACCAGAAGAGGACAAAGATTTGGTATCTCCAAAAGAATCTGTTAAGGTAAGTTTATAGTGTTACTTAAAGTTGGTTAAATATAAGCAATACCGTGTTTTGTTTGCATGGCGTTTTTGATGTTATTTGACTTCGCAAGTATGATAAGCTGCATAGCGATGACCCAGAAAAAAAACGACAACTCTGGGTCTGTGCATGTTTCATTTCATCTGTTTTGCGATTTTGTGTGGCTTTCCCAAAACATTTGAATTAAATGCATACCATAAGAAAGAGCAAATATCAATATAGATTCTGAGAAGAGCCGTATGAGGCGAAAGTTTAATGATAGATAGATTACTTGATCGATAGAATATTACAATAATTCGAATATTCCAGTAATAATAGATATAAACTGACAGTTTGCATTTATAATTTATTCCATTTATCATTTATGCAATTTATTATATTCATAGAGTACTACTACAGTGTGCTATGCATACTACTGTGTACTATATACTATTGTGTACTACTACAGTGTGCTATGCATGCTACTGTGTACTACATACTATTGTGTAATATGTTCTAGGTACTAGTTATTTTCAACCTATCTGCTAATATGCATACTATTGTGTACTCTGTACTATTGTGTTCTAGGTTCTAGGTTCTAGTTATGTGCTATGCACTACACTGTACTATGCATACTAGTGTACTATATATGCGTACTATTGTGTACACTGTACTATTGTGTTCTATGTTCCAGGTTCTAGTTATGTGCTATGCACTACACTGTGCTATGCATACTATTGTGTACTATGTTCTAGGTTTTAGTTATATCCAACCTATCTGCTAATATGCGTACTACTGTGTACTATGTGCTATGCATACTACTGTGTACACTGTACTATTGTGTTCTATGTTCTAGGTGCACGTTGTGCTTAGTTATGTGCTATGCACTACAGTGTGCTATGCATATTACTGTGTAGTATGTACTATGTACTATCGTGTACTATATTCTAGGTACCAGTTATTTTCGACCTGTCTGCTAAAATTCTGTACGCATACACAACTGGACAATTCTGCTTGAACAGGGCGCTTAATAGGGCATATTAAACCTTGATTCTCCACGTGTCACTCAACAATTCTACTAGAACTGGGCCCTTACTACCGGTAAGGCATATGAAACCTTGATGCTGCACCTAACAATCTATTGTGCATAATGCTGACAAGAACTCTGAAAGGCAAGTATTGTGTGCGATGGGGTGCGACTGCATGGAACTTGACAATGATGAGCATTGAAGTGTGTTGCAATGAATAGTGACTGATGATAATATGCGAGTGGGAAATGAGAGTGAACTTAGTGAAGAGAAGAAGTATACCATAAAATGCAAAAGACAAAAGAAAAAGAAAAGAATAGTGGAACAGAGACAGAAAATCGTCACAAGACAAACATCCAATGGAGAGGAGAAACATCTGTTCAATTTTCCTTTCGTAGCAATTCATCAACATATCTCAATAAAGTAATATACTGTTTTTTTTTTTTTTTTTTTTTTTTTTTGAGTGTGAGAGAGAGAGAGAGAGATAGGGAGATGCAACTGCCTGTGGCTCCTCGGGGCATGTTGCTGCGTTTGTTTTCCCTCCGGATTTCTACCGCAGCACGGTGCGGTGCCTGAAGCTGTTGATCTCCTCATGGAGGTGAGCTCTGTTTGGATGACATTGTCACATCAACTTTGAAAGTCTGGCCTTGGTCGCTGATTTAATGGTTCTGAATGGCCCCTTTCTCAATAGCAGATGACTACAAAATGACAGCATGGGTTGGGCTGGAGAACAAGTGACCTCCCTATCCTGTATAGATTGCTAAGGGATGTATTAGGCCTATGTGGGGCTTCTGTTGTCGAACTGGCGAGCGGCTCAGATGTGCAGTTGATCGCAAATTTTTGAGATCTGCTGCACTTCTGTGCCCTGCGGCGCTGTGCATTCCAGGTGTGCGGTGGATCTTAAACTCTATGATCTGCTATTCAATGGTGAAAGGTGTAGATCGACTGGGTACCTCTGCCAACCTACCGGGTCAAGATCCCAAGGACAACTCACAGAGAGACAGACACACACACACACACACACACACACACACACACACACACACACACACACACACACAGAGAGAGAGAGAGAGAATCTACCCTGTTGCCTTGCATTCCTCCCCATCTTTTGCCTTCCTTTTCTTTCCCCCAGAAAAAAATGTGCTGTGACCTTCTCCAGCGTACAGTGCGGGGAGAATGAGGGTGATGGAGGGGAACATGATGCAGGAGATGTGGCCCACGAAGCACCATGTAGAAGGGAGCGGTGACATGAGGAGAATGTTTTCCTGCTTCTGATGTGGTGTTATTTCTGCCTGAGTTGTTGTATGTGTTTTTCGCTGCACACAGAGGAGGAGGAGGTGGTAGTGAGGACGAAAGGAAGGTGGAGAGAGGAGTGATACAGAGCATGACTGCCTTTTCTCCTCCTGTCTTGCTCTCCTTTTCATGTTTACAACATACTGAGATCCTATTATCCTTTAGGCAGTAACATCGTGTGGAGAGTGGCTGGCCTTCTATCGCACCCCAGGAGAAAGGGAAAAAGTGAGGGACTGATAATGTGATTGGCTTTGGACGAGGTGCAGTATATGACATATAACCTCAGGGGTCAGGTCCTACCTAGGCCGATTCTTCATTTTTGGCCGTCCGTCGCCAATTGCAATGCCCAGAATCAGTCGTCCGCTGCCAATTGCAATGCCCAGAATCGGTATGTGTGCGGGCTGCTCATTGGCCAAGCTCACATGGATCTACTTTCTCCGTCTCTTTTTCTTTTTATTTTGTCAAAAGTATTTTTTTCTTGAAGACTGCCCTTTTGTTGTCAGTTGGTTTTGCTGGGCAAGCCGCGTATATCTTGGATCTGAAACAACTCGTAGTATGGGATTAGCTTATTAAATTCCTATTGAACTTCCCTAGAAAAGATGCTGGGTAGAGCATCCACCGTCCTTTCAGTACTCAGGGAGAGATAGAGAGGAGGTGGGTTCTTTCCTGCAATGCCTTCAGGCTGCTTGATTGGCAGTTGCAGCAGCCCAGCGGTAGAAGAGTAGGGCTGTGAAAAGATAGGAAGAGGAGAGGTGCGGTTGAGGAGTCCACTTATGTGGCGCCATTCAAATAGGCCATGTGTTTATGGGTATGTGACAGACTTCTTTTTTCTTTTTCCTTTTTAGAATCAGAGCAAGGACCTCACGTGTGTGCCATCTGTGACTTGTCTTCGTTTGGCCGCTCAGGTGGAGAACCTGGACTTGCTGATCGACCACATTGAGCTAGCAAACTACAAACGAACCTGCCTCTACCTCATGAGCTGTGCCAGGTGAGAATTTGGAATGTCCTTTGTTACCCTGTCTTATCATGTCTGCAATTCTGTGCAGGATGGTTATCGATTGCTGCTATCATCTTAGCAAACTTTATGCCCATGACCATAAGCTCTGATCACTGTCATTGTAGCCCCATTTCTTATACTGCTGTCTCCTGAATACCATGTGAGCTTGTAGTGTGGCACCCTTGGAGGTACAACTTTTGCCTCAGGGTCACATCAAAAATTCTTTACCAAATTTAAAATAAAATAACTTCAAATAAGATTAAAAAAAATATTATTATTTTCCTTTTTTGGGCCCGGCCTGGCAAGTGGTCCTGGGCCACTTTGGTAGCCTAGGTACACACACAACTTATGAGAAACAGGTTTGAAATCTGTTTCGTACAGTAATCTTAGGGCTACCTTCCTCGGGAGAACAAAGGGAAAATTAGACCACTATTCAGAATGCTGCCCACAGACTGGCTCAGCAAGGTGACCCGGGCGGCCCAGCTGGTAGCCTAGGTGTATCATTCAACTCACATGTGGTGAGAGATTTTGGCCAACCACATCGTCTGCTCAGAACCTATCGCCATGTACCTACCTGGTTGTTGAGTGTTGCATACACAACTGATGACAAACAGATTACAGGTTTGGAAAGAAAGTCCGATATGGCCAAGTAGAAATTGTAGACGGGTGACTATTCCACGTTTTGCTGTGGGTATACACTCCTTTTTCAAAAATCCCTGTTATCGCAGTGTGCTTGACAGTTTCGTGATGGCTGCATGCAACACCAATCTAGGACTTCGAACTTGGCCCTGTGCTTGTTTTTGGCCGAGAGTGTGCTCCCCTCGTTATTATTTTCTTAAATGGTGTACTCATATATGGCAGCTGATTCAGTTCTACGATCTGAATGCTGCCCCACTGCCCTTTGTGCCTCCTTTGTGCTCCAGTCTTATGTGCTCTGACTATGTCAAGGTGAGAAGGGTATGGGGGTGCTGGTGGGGTTATATGTGAATATGGGAATATAGGCGTAGACCCCACGAGGGATTTGCAAATGGCTGACCAGGATCATATGGATGAACCGTATACTTGTGCACCACCCTGCGCAGACCTCACGGGTGATCTACAAATGACTGACCAACAAAACCAGCCTGAGATCTCCGCCAATCTCTGTGGTCTGACTGCAACTAATAGCTGCCTTCACGTTCTCAATCGGCCATTGTATACACAATCAGATTTCCTTGTAATTGCCCTGCAGCTTGATGTTGATCTCGCTAATCTCGCTGATCCCCCCGACCTACAGCCAGAGCATCGTAATTACACCAGGGAAGGAGGTTTTA